GGTTCAGATATTGAAAGATTGTCACAACTCGCTTATCCAGAGTGTCCCCATTCAATTCGTGATAAAATTGCCTGTGCACAATTTTTATCTGCTTTATATGATGGTTATGTGAAAAGAACTCTCCAGTTAAAAGGGGTAACATCTTTGAGATTGGCAATCAAAAGAGCAAAAGCAATTAAAATAATTTAAGAAAATAGTTTTGAGAAAAAGAAAGAAAATAATTTTAATTTGAATGGAAAATGGGACAAAAGAAATTATAATACAAAAGGAAAATTTTATGAAAATAATTTGGAAGGGGAAAATAAAGAAAAACGAAATAAATTTCAAAATAAATTTAATAAAAATAAATTTGAAAAACATAAAAGTATAGATAAAACCAATAATAAAAATGGAAATCACAAAGAGTGTTGGGAATGCAGAAAGTTAGGTCACTTCCGTTCCGAGTGTCCGGGCAAAACGGAAAGATTTTAGTGAAAGTTGCAAATTTGTATGTTAATTAATTTTATGGTGTATATTGCGCGTTATGAATTATTTGAGTTTCAGAGCATAATGGATGAGACTTCTCCGGGCGTGTACCATCTTAGCCGAGGAAGGAGAGAAACGCAAGCCCCATCATGCAAGTTTTTTTAAGAAGACTGCCTTACTCTCGGTTTTCGAGCCGTGGTTTCCCGGGAGTCTTTGGGCGCAGACCCAAAGAGCAAATGCCAAGGCAGGGATTTGGGGAGTCCTTTAGGACGAAAGGGTCCACGATGATTATCCCCTCTTTGTCCGAAGATCAAGAAACAAGCGCTCAAAGCTCAAGGAACAAGACTGAAGCTCAAGGATGCGCAGGGCAACGAGATCTTCTGAGGGAAGTTGAGGGGATGCCCGGAACCTAACGCCTGGAAGATTGGCCAGCTTCCAAGAGGTTATCGGAAGGGGTCCCGCTCGAAGACTTATCTGGAGAGAGAAAGTCTTTTCCCCGAGAAGCGGATTGAGTTCAAGAGAAGAAGATGGTGCTCGGTAACCTGCTGCAGCAGCACAGGGTAGAGCAGGGAACCATCTGGAACTCTGGAGTCCGTATGAAGAAAGCTCGAAACACAGTAGACGCACCCTGATTGTCGGGACGACAATCTAGAAGAGGGAGGGCTGTGTTACGCCCGCGCCGTTGCGAATTGAGCGAGCTGGTCGAGCTGCCGGCGAGAGTTACTTGTTTCCTGGACAACGAGATTCTTGGTTGTCAAACGGACGCCATTAGATTTGGAGACGAGCCGTCGACCCGTTCGGACGTGCTCTAACCCCTTTCTGTATTTCGCTACGTTCTCTTGCATTAAAGAGTTTATCACTTTTTAAGTTGGTGTTCCATTCATTTCTCCGCGGCGATCCGGTACGCGTGCGCGTGCGCGAGTGCGGAAACGCGGGTAACACACGTTCGAGTGCGCGAACGCGAGTTTTACCGCCCCGGGCGTAACAATATATATCTTCTACCATTTGATATCTCCATAACACTAACCGCCTTTCCCATATCCTGATTTAATATCATCTTACATTTGGGGGCTCGGTTCCGGGATACCGAAGGAAAGTTCGCGAGTTTATTCGAGAGAGTCGGTGGTAAGATAAAGTGAGACGACGAAGAAGACAGTGGTGCAACGACGAGGACGATTACGATGTGAACGAGACGACGACGACGAAAACGATTGTGAAACAACGTGAACGCCGAAAGCACGTTGAGTTCTCAAAGATACACTTGCGAAGAGACGACGACGACGAAGACGATTGCGAAGAGACGACGACGAAGAAGACGATTGTGAAGAGACGACGACGACGACGAAAACGATTGTGAAACAACGTGAACGCCGAAAGCACGTTGAGTTCTCAAAGATACACTTGCGAAGAGACGACGACGACGAAGACGATT